CACGTACGTCTTGTGCAAATGTATTGCGAGCCACGTACGTCTTGTGCAAATGTATTGCGAGCCACGTACGTCTTGTGTAAATGTATTGCGAGTCACGTACGTCTTGTGCAAATGTATCGCCAGGAAGTGGAAGGAGGTAAGCTATAGGTGCTTATACACGGGGCTAGAGTACTAGCTGCGAGTATTAGCAGCGAGTTTTCACACTCTCAGTTTTGCCGGCTAAAAGCCTACACACGAGGAGAGTATTGGTAAACGGTTCGCAAGTGCCAGTGCGTTGTTCGCAGCCGTCGAGTGAGGTTAATGCATGGTGGCATATGGAACGTAACGGTAATGACGAGTATGAGGAGGCGTTTAAAATTGGTGGCATAGTTGCCACTCTTGCTGAGGAAGTGAAAAACTTTGTAGATCAGCGTAGAGTGTGGGTGAGAGACCTAATAATGTCTCGTTTAAGTTTCAAAACTCTACTCTCTATTAGTTTTTGTTAGAAGTTTCATTGTGACGCACATTCCACAGTAGATCGTACTTATGGAATATCTATGTGAACAGTTCAATATCATATAAACACCTCTTGACGTTGATAGAACCGTCGTTGCTGGGACAATACATACTTCATAACATTAGACGTACACACTACAGTTGCCGCAGCGCTGCTGCCCATGCTATATATATAGTATCGGCATATACTATACTATTTGCCGTAGCGCAACTGCCGATGCTATATATACGCAAACGCATCAGCTACTCGCATTTGAAGAATAAATCATCGCAATATTTGGAGTGCTAATCCTCGCAGCTAATACTAGACCCATGTATAAGCACTTTATTCGTCACTACTGTATAAATATAGGGCTAATGGGACTAATACTAGTCCCATGTATAAAAACAAGGACATAGCTGCCCTTATGAAGCGCCTAGCAAACGCGACCCGGAGAACTTAACCCTTAAATGCACGCATTTAATGTGGAGGATAAAAAAAATATTTCAACGGTGATTCTATTTTGAAATGGGTCAATATACACATAAATTGCATCAAGTTTGAATTTTTTCTTTTTATTATATAAAATTGATGGTTGTATCATATATGATACAAGGCGCGTTTGCGGTAAATATTAGTTACTATGTAATTTGGTGGAACATTCGATATTTTTTCTAAAACAAAGGGTAATACCGCACTTTTGGTACATAACATAGGAAAGTGAATAACAACCAGGTATTTTGTATCTTTGTCGGTCATCAGCATGCTTGGGCCAGTTTGCCACACCATCCAATCTCACTTCTTTAGGGGGCAGATGAGCTACATTACCATTCTTATCACATGGCGCACAACTTATCGCATGGAGTCCTTCTTATCAGTGTTATCACATGGCACCGTTCTTATCACGTGACGCCCTTCTTATCACATGGCACCCTTCTAATCGCATGACGCTCTTTTTATCACATGGCGCCCTTATAATCACAGAGCACACTTCTTATCACATTGCGCCTTTTTGATCCCATGGCGCCATTCTTATCGCATCATTGCATGACGACCGTCATATCGCATAGAGACTTTCATATCACGAGGCGCCCATCTTATCACATGACACCCTTCATAGCGCATGGCGCCCTTCTTATCACATGACGCCCTTGCTATCACATGAAGCTCTTCTTATCAAAAGGCGCCCTTCCTATCACATGGTGCCCATCACATAACATCTTGTGCTGCCTAAGGTCAGGTTGCAGTCTCTTGTCTAGCGTGAAGCATTGAGCCTTGTGTGTTTTTTTGTTCTGTGCTGTGTTGTATTGTGTTGTTCTGTGTTGTATTGTATTGTTCTGTGTTGTATTGCATTGTTCTGTGTTGTATTGTATTGTTCTGTGTTGTGTTGTTCTGTGTTGTGCTGCANCATTGCTGGTGCTGCTGTGTTGGTGTGGTGAAGCTGCTGTTGTGCTGCGGCATTGCTGGTGCTGCTGTGTTGGTGTGGTGAAGCTGCTGTTGTGCTGCGGCATTGCTGGTGCTGCTGTGTTGGTATGGTGAAGCTGCTGTTGTGCTGCGACATTGCTGGTGCTGCTGTGTTGGTGTGGTGAGGCTTTTGCTGTTGGTCCCATCGCCACTGTTACTGACGATGCTTCTGATTTTACTGCCGCTGCTTTTTTGGTAGTATGCGTTATTCTTTCGATTATTATTGGACAGCATTGTGCTGCCCAATTATTATTGGACAGCAGCAGCACATGTCAGCGAATAAACATCCTAAACGTTCCTCGTGTAGGATGAAATTGCCATTTATTCCTGTTGCTGTTCAGAACTTCTTGTTTTGAGCGCCCCGCTTGGAGGCTTCACTGTTGCCCCGAGGTTTAAAATATTTCACTTCACCCAAACGCCACTCCGAACTTCACGTTTCTTTCATGTTTAAATTTACATTCATTGCCACGAGGCCTTGGATGCCTTAGATGAACTTAGATTCGCAAGTCATGCATCTCTGATATAAATTTTCTAACATTTGAGATATGTTTTTTTTCATAACAGCCATCCAACAGGTGTTCTTTTTATAAAAATAATTAAGTAATAAATTTCATGCTCTAATTTTTTATTTAACCCTAATATTTCTATTCACAAACCAGCAATACCCGACGTTGCTAAACTTTTATCGAGTAATTGTGATTTCAAAAGTTCAGAAATTTTCCAGGCGCCATCTTGCCATTCTCAGGCCTGCGCCTTCAGCCCTCGCTGCCATAGATCACTCACCGCGCTCAGCGCTGAATATTCTTTTATTTCCATGTTATTTCATTTGGAGCTTTAATGCGATCAAATGGCAAGTAAATTGCTGGCCGCGTCGTGTCTTAATTTGCTGCTTTGAAGTGGAATTATCTGATCGGCAAGCACCACCGCGGGACTTGCTTCGTTCCGACACTATTTAATGAATATTTAATTGATTCTCGTAGCACAAAGAATTGTGCCTGCGTAAAAAAGTAAAACATTCAAGTAATATTTACTTGATTTTGAATGCCTGCGGAGTTTACGGGTTAATATAATAAAAACCTCAAAATTTGTAATATAGTGAGAAGTAATTAATTGCATTTGTATGTTAATGTCAGTAATAATAACTGAATCTAAAGCAAACGTCTACTGTATAACTAACAAAATTTGAAGGTGTTACAAATCAATGATTGTGTGATTGATGAGTGATTCTGAACTACGCTTGCTGTAAATCAGTACATTTCTGGAGCCAGGAAAGGATTTTCAAGATAATTATTCTAGCCGGTGTTAATATATATTGAGTAATCGCTAATAATTGCAATTTCGTAACTCCACTTTCTGCCAGCAATTTTATGAGTCAATGCAATGTCAGTCACGTATAATTAAATTAATTTTTAATAATCGTACGATGGAGCTGGTGGTGGTTGTGCACTTGTTGGTAGGGCCAACCAATATAACCTACTTCTGTCTCACTAGCAATTGTAATTAGCCCAGATGCAAGAGACGAATTAACAATGAGTGATTTAAGAAGTTGTCTATGAAATTACAAAAATTATGAAAAAATATTGGTGATGTAAACGTGATGCAGTTAGAGCAGCAGAAAAATTCCTAAGAACTAGAGGCGTGTTGGCAGATGAAATTACTGCATCAATATTAAAATCACTTGGCTGCTTAAGTCGCAAATTTACCAGGAATTTAAAAGCAAAGAAAATAGCCAAAAATTTCACCATTTCTTATAAGAGAAAACGTTTCGGAGTCCAGCTCCATCGTCAGTTCAAAACCTAATTCAAACGGTCCACAAACATGTAAGTATTGTCTACCGTATATTGATTGGTGGTAAGACAGCTCAAAATTGGAACCAGAAATTTTGCAAGTTTGAAGCTAGGAGTATTGTAAGCAGCAAAAATTGGGCGAAATTGAAAATTTGAAGAGAAATCTGGTTTATGAATTTTTGGCAAGCCATACAAAATACCAGGACATGAGCCAGAAGCATAAAGTTTAAAGTAAGTTTCATG